GGGAGTTAGGAAAAATAAACTCAGGGAGTTAAGTGGGAAGGTGGGGATTGTGCAAGGTATTTACCCGGAGTGACCCGGACAGTCTCTGAGCATTTCAGAGTAGAGGGGCACTGTGACCTGGTTCATACTCTGACCTCACCACCATGGCTGCTCTTTTAAGAACAAACTAGTGGCCTAGGACTCCTTTGGACTCTAATCTTCAGTGAATGGAAGATAGAGCCATTCATCCACTGTTTATCTATCTTTCTATATCTATCTATCTATCATCTATCTATCTATCTTTCTAATAGTCTCAAAATAATAATGAACATATTTCCAGCTTTCTTGAGATATAAGTGAAATATGACATTGTGTAAGTTTAAAGTATACAACGTGTTAGCCAAAGCCTCTATCACATCACATAATTACCATTTCTTTTCTGTGGTGAGAACTTTTAAGAGCTACTCTCTTAGCAATTTTTAAGTGTATAATACAGTAATATTCACTACAATCACCATGCTATACATTAGATCCCCAGAACTTATGTGTCTTATAACTGGAAGTTTGTGCCTTCTGACCAGCATCTCCCCCGTTTCCCCAACCCCACATCCCCACTCACACGCACATATATACTACATCTTTGTCCAGTCATCTGTTGACTTAGGTTGTTTCCATACCTTGGCTGTTGTGAATCATGCTGCAATGAACAGGGAGGTGCAGATATCTCTTTGAGATCCTGCTTTCATTTCCTCTGGATATATACCTAGAAGTGGGGCTCCTGGATAATATGGTAGTCCTACTTCTAATTTTTTGAGGAACCTTCATATGGTATTCCATAGTGGCAGTACTAATATACATTCTCGCCAATAGTGTACAAGGGTTTCCTTATCTCCACATCCTCATCACTATTTGTTATCTCTTGGAATTTTGACGACAGCCGTTCTAATAAGTATGAGATGATATCTCACTGTGGTTTTGATTTGCATTTCCCTAGTAATTAGTGATGTCAACCAACTTTTTCATGTAAGTATTGGCCATGACTTTTTTGGAGAAATGTCTATTTAGTTCTTCTGCCCATTTTTTAATCAGATTGTTTGGTTTTTTATTATTTAGCTGCATGAGTTCTTTTATATTTTGGGTATTAACCCCTTATAAGAGATACGATTTGCCAATATTTTCTCCCCTTCCATAGGTTGCCTTTTCATTTTGTTGATTGCTTCTTTTGCTGTGCAGCTTTGTAGTTTGATGTAGTCTCATTTGTTGAGTCTCAAGATGCTTCCTCAGAGGGTTGATTTATCTTTGAAAACTACTATGTTACTTCTTCTTTCCCACTCTGTGGTCTTATTTTACATCATCCTTCCCCATAGTGGTAGATATGCTGCAGCCATATCAGCCTCTGGCTGCTTTCTTGCGCGCCTTGAAGAAGCAGTGCTTTCCTGTTTTCCCTCCCTAGGATGCTCTTCCCTGTGTTTTCAGCTCTGCCTCCTCCTCTTCTCTGGGATCACAGCTCTAAAGCTTTTCTTCAGAAAGAACCTTCCTGACACCATCTGCAAATGCGCTTGATTTCATTTTCTCATAACACTAATCGCCATCTGAAATTATCTTAATTATTTAAGTGCCTCTTTATGGTCTCTTCACCACTCCACATGAACACATATCTATTAAGTGTACATTCTATGAAAGAACCTTGTACAGAGACTCTATAATTTATTATTCCAGATGAAAACAGATGACACCCAATTGGGCAATTTGAAATTAGCTAATAAAAAGACTCTTTGTGAAAGTGCGAGCAGGCTTCAGGGAAGCTATAAGGGATAGGGCAGAATCTGGAGAAGGAATAACAAGTAGCTGTGGTCACCACACTAGGGCTGAAGGAATGAGCGGGGCCCGGAGACACATGCATGTGTTCAGTGAGGGACTATGGCCGGGGACAGTGTGGCTTATGGGGGATCCACGGAAAGAAAACTCAGCCTCATTCCCCTTATACCATCCAATCTCCTGCCAATTAGCAACCAGAAGCGGGAGAGCAGAGAGAAGTCCAGAAAAGTATACAAAGTGAAAACGGAGGGGCCAATGAAAGAGTATTAACCATTATAACCTCAAACCTAATAGCAGCACCTGCGTGAATATTTTAGTACAAGTGTTGACTGAATTTATTGTCCCATGTCTCAATCATGCAATTCAACACTCAATTCAAGAAATAACTCTGTAAAACCATATCCTGGATTATCACATGTAATGTTTTATGATTTTACAAAATTAGCTGAGATGCACCAAATCTGGGGGGGCTTGCACACATGAGGGTGATTGCAAAGGGAGAATGTAGCCCCTGGCAGATTAGTGTCTCTTGATATATCATTTTAAGTTTATAACTCTCTCAACCATACATGTCCACGTATATTGGCAGAAACAAAATCTGATTATTTTACTCATTCTTGTTTTCACTCTAATTGTCTTGATTAATGTTGGAAAGTTCATCGGGTACAAGACACTCAAATTATAACAGGTTTCAATGTATACTTGCCTATCTACACTTTTCATCCAATAAATATAATTTATTTAAGAAATATTTCAAATGAATTAAGTTTGTGGAGTATTTATACTATTTTATGAAACATGTGGGGTTTTTTTTCTTTTTAGGCTTCAGCTATTATCATACAAGCCTGTCACTATATCTTTGTATACAAATACTGAAAATAGAGATAGACACATGAACTTAAACCTGAGAACTGAAATATTAGAATGTAGCATTTCCGCTGCTGGTTACATTCTATCGTTGCAGTGCATTAGCCCAGTGCTTTGCAAGTTTTCTCCTTACTCAAGACCGTGCAGTCCATTTTTTGCTTATTTGTTTTTAAATGTTAGGCAATTACTAAACAATGGATGAGCATAAAAAAGCAACTTCTTGAAAAGGAGATTTTTCTTCCCAGGCTTTTTCAGTAGACCACAGTATTTGAAGATTTCTCTTATCACATTGAACTTGGTAGTCTGCCTGATTCCCTAGATTCAACTCCAAAAATTCTAGAAATGCCATATTTTATTTCTCTAGGACAGTGGTTCTTAAACGGAAATGGTGGTGGAGAAAGGGAAGCCCGCCATGTTCATCAGAGAAGATTTTCTTTGAAACTACGCATACAACCCTTTCCTCTCTCTGGATTCTAATGATTCTAATCTACAGTCTTCCAGTCGAGCCACATTCCACTAACTGGAGGGCTGGAAGCCACAGATAGGATAGAGCAGGAGGAGGGCAGGGCAGTTTGGGGCCTTGATGACAATTGGAACATATCAACAGAAAAAAAAATCTAGTCTTAAATAAGTCTAATCATGCCTATTTGCTCTTTTTTCATACCATCTTACTATTTATGTATTTTTTATATAAAGTATAAAATTTATATATATATAGCATATTTATAAATTTTCATATTGGAAAATTTTTATTAGAAATGAATTGAGAAAAGTAAAAATTATATGTATAACTCATATTGGAAATGATATATATATGTATGATTCATACGTGAATCATATATATTTGTATTCCATATTCATTTTGGAAAAGAATTGAGTAAAGATAGATCTAGCTAAGAACAGGACAATAGCACACATATGAATTAAACCCAGGCATTTATCTAGAAGATGTAAATGTTATAAGACAGGCAGAAGTCATGTAGCTTATGGCATGTAGGGCCAGGCCACTGAGATGCAGAAATAAAGAATCTTAGTTAAGAGTCTTCGAAATGAAACATAAGGAATCTGAGCTGAAGAGAGGACAAACATTGAATTAAAATGGTGTCAGTACCAGTGTATGAATAGAGCAGTTGTAGCAAAAAAAAGAGCTTGCCTTTTTTGCAACTATTTCCTGCCAAGGGTCAGAAGAAATTTTAGATTGTAGTTAAGTCTGAATTAGCAACAGAACAGCATATGGTTAAGTTGATAGTGGAAAGTGCAGATAAAATGAGGATGCATATTCAGTCTACGATTTGGGTGCTATACTTTGTGTTGATGGTTGATATGATCTTTGTTATTTATATATGCTACTTTATTTAAGAAACAACACTATCTAAGACACATGGGTTTAAGACAAATGCTTGGCGATCTCTTCCTAAAACCGTTGACTACAGATTGGAATTTGGTATAAAATTTATTCATAATTGTACTTGCAACAAGTAGAGAAGGTTTTAGTTATTTCACTCTGAATAAATATAAATATAACTTAGTTCTACATTTAGGCGCAAGGGAAGAAAATGAGTCAGATATGTAAATATGCATATGTACTGTATGATTCAGAACCGTAAATTTAATTATCTATAGATTCATTCATTCATTCAGCCAGTCATTCAACTAGTCAGTTGGTCACCACGTTCTTATTGAGTTCATTTTAAATGGCAGGCACTATCCTAGATGCTGGAGTATCTTGGTGACAAGAGAGACAATGTCCTTACAATGGGAAAGCTTAATGAAATCTAAGTGAAAAATTCTGTGGCTAAAATAACTGAGAGGAATCCTGAAAGACAAAATAAAATACACAAAGGAGATATTCCATGTTCTAAAAAAGTGAAGTAATATATTTATCCTAGAATGTAAAGATAATGAAGAGGAAAATGGCATTCTTTAGAAATCTTACACTCAATGTAACCACTTAATTTTTTTAGTACACATGTCTTTATCTATATTGTTTAACAATTTCATTCTCTTTTAAAGCTAGGATTATTCTGTGTAAATCAGGTCTAACCTGACTGACTTAATGAATGAGGACCATGTTTTAGAGTTGTTACATTGTTCTTTAACCATATTCCACAATGCTATACAGCATTTCGTTATATGGCTGTTCATTATATGTATAATGTATTTAATTATATTCTAACCATTGGAAATCTGGGGTGTTTCACTTTTTAAAAAACACACAATTTTTGTTAGCATGTCTTTGCTAGTGAATCTAGATAAAATCATTTTCTTGTGGACTATTTTATTTTAGAAAACACAACTTTTGTGATATTTATCTTTTATTATTTTTTTCCCTTAAGGTATTATTAGAACAGCTTTGCCAAACATGGACAGGGAAGTCAAAGAACAATACCAAGTCCTCATCCAAGCCAAGGATATGGGCGGACAACTAGGAGGGCTAGCTGGAACAACAGTAGTCAACATCACCCTCACTGATGTCAATGACAATCCACCTCGGTTCCCCAAAAGTATGTTTTCTCCTGTTCAGTCTAAATTAGTGCAGCTTTAAAAAAAACTGCTTACGTTTCATTGAATGTCATAGGAATTGTAATAATTTTCCAGACACTTGGTCTTTAGGAAGCAGAAGCTAATGGATAAAAATTAAATGACTTCATAATTTTAATTTTCCATTAGAATCATGTACAATGTGACTTTAACAGAAAATAATATAAATTAGTCAATAACTGAACAATGAGTTTTATGCTATTGATTCCTATTAAAGTAAAATATTCACAACAGGTGGAAACCTTGCTGTAATCTCTTATTAATTGAAAAAGTAATATAAATATAAAAATTCCAATGTAATTTAGGACTCATATTTATGACACATATGCCATAATATTATTTGCTATATCATATCATTAGCATAAGACTTCTCTGTCTTCTCTTTAGCGATTATATGTGTTGAATCCTTTTCATATACTTCCGTGTATCAGATGATAATTACAATGATGCTATTTACATTACTTTAGTTTTATTTTATTTTAGTTTCGCAATTGGTGAAAATTGCTACTGCTTCTATGATAATAGAATGATTCACACCTGTGTCTTCTCTGTAACTCTGTTTCTTATTGAAAATGAATACTTCTCACTTGTGTTATATCTAGTTTCCTTTTAAGTATTACATTTAACACCAATCAGTACCTGTTCGGTTTCTGGTACATTTTCAAGGATTAGTTTAGCATTCCTAGGACTTACAATACAGAAACTGAACGTTTCTGTCACTGATTATATAAAGAATTTGATTAAATCACTAGCTACTCATTTGCATCGACAGTTTGAAAAACCAAAACAAAATGATTTTTCTCCTCCAACTTCAGAAGGAGAATTGAGTTCACTTACTCAAGTGTATAACACTGAGAATGCTTAACTAAGTGGACATTTTATTCCTTTTGCTATATGGTTTTTCATATTTTACTATTTTGTCATTTTTTTCTTAAAATCATCAACCTGTATTTTTCAATGGAAATACTTTTACTCGGTGAGCAGAAAGTCTGATGGCCAAAAGTTATGAGTGGTGATTCGAAATAATCATACTTTAGCAAATGGAAATTATGTGACAATTGGCTAGTACGCAATATGTTATGATTAATAACAGAGTCTTAGAGCAACACTTTCCCCTACTTTGCTATTAAGGGAAACAGAAAAAATATAAATAAATATTCAAAAGGAGAAAGAAATAATGCATTTGATTCTCTAGCATATGGCATTAATAGAGAATATGTTCCCAACTCAAAAAGCACTAATTTTTTTTTTTTGTGCTACTTATGTGTGGCAAGTTGTAATAGCCAATTGAGGAGGATAGTTTGGGAAATGACTCTGCTTTTATATAAAAGGTAGCATTGTAAACTTGGTTGCTGTTTTCGGTTTTACATGTATAAAATATGTTCAGTCTAAAGTACAGGAAAGAGCAGGGATATTCCTAGATAGTGTCAATATTCTTATTCACAAGGATGATAGGGAGATGTTTCAGATGAGGAATATAAAATTCAGCCAGTGGAATCATACAGCCCTGTGTGTATGGATGAAGGATGGTTCGTAAAAATTTGGACAGGGATGCAGACAAATAGACTGGAGTACAGGAAAATAAATGTGTCTCAATGGGAGAGAAACTAGAGTATGCTTAGGAAAGCTATATGGTGTGCTCCAGGGCCACTGAAACAGGAAGATCACTTCTAGAGTCTACGTAATGAAAAGCGAATCTGGATAAAGCAGTAGGCTTGGAGTTTATTCAAGCTTGAATCCATAGATCTAAGGGTAATTAGATGAAACCCTCTAGATAAGCTTGTGGGGGATTTGTGTACTGGAAATTTTAGAGCATTTACATGCTGTGTCAAGAACTTTATCCTTATCTTATTTTATTTTCACAACAACATACTGAAATCTCTGTTTTCCACATTTTACTATTAAGAAAACTGAGGCTCAGAGAGATTAAATAACTTGCTTAGAAAGATTAAATAACTCACCCAAGGTCAACAAAATTAAGTGACAGAGGTCTTTTTTCTTTTGCTCTGAAGATCAAATTCCTTAATTTTAACATAATATGCAAGTGAAAAGTTATTCTTTTCTTTTACCTGCCACTCTAAAGCCATATTTTTTTAGAACACATCTGCAATAAAAGTCACGTGACATATGTTGAATTGTGACTATAAACAGAGAAATGAGAGAACAGAAGAAATATACCAAGTAGCATATTTGAGCTATAGTCTGAAACTATAATAGGTGAGAGAGATTTTTGAATCGTGAGAAAAAAGAGGGTTTTCACATTTTGCATGAATAAAAAATTAATCCCCTTGAAATTTTACATGCCTTCATGTCAAGCCCTTTTTACTGTACTGTCATTTTGAATTACACCCTTCAGAGGAAAAGACGGAATACATTTATAAACAGAACAGCCGTCTCTTTAGAAGCTGACGCTCTTTTGGCAGGAATATTTCTCATGTTGGGCAATTAAACTGCAAATATGACATAAAATTACAAACTAAAATAATAGCCGTTTGAATGTAAAAGTCAAAAAAAATATATTTCATACATAAATAAGTTAAAAGAGAATTCCCCATAACTAACTGTCTTTGTTCATGCCTGTTAAACAATTATGTTGAACAAAAAAATCTTCCTTCCTGAGCTACATTTTTCATTGCTTAAAAATGCAGGAGATAATTTCTTAACATTCACTACTCATTTTTTTTGGCTTTGTGTGTGTACATATGCATATGAGACATTGTTAAGTACCCATTTCCATCCATTTCCTTTTATAAATCTGTTAGAGATGAAAAGAAAATTGAATGCCATACACATTTGTATCATGAAAGTCTAAATAGTTTGCTGTTTTAATGTCGCAAAATAGATGATTCCTGAGATATCAGAACTTCCTGCCAATCTGATATGATGATGGTGACAATGATATTGACTAACAAATTACTATGTGTCAGGCACTATGCAAAGTGATTTACGTATATATTCACACTTAACTCTCACAATGACTATATAGTATTTGCTCAATTTTACAAATAAAATGGCAAAGCTATATTATTAAGGAAGATTCAGTAATTTGTCCAAGCTCACACAGCCACCAGATGAGAGAACCAAGACTAATCTTACACGGGGACTTCAGAACTTTAAACTTTTATCAATCTCCTTGAAAGACAATCTGCCTTTGATGCCTGTGTTTGGCCCAAAAGGTAACCCAGATAATCGAGAAAACTGTCCACAACTGCAGGTAGTAATACAGTTTTGGAAATGGAAATAATGCCTGGCATGGTAAAAGAGCTCTACCTGAAGTCACATAAAGGCAAAATATTTTCTTTGAAAAATCTGTTCCATATAGTTATAAAGCTACCATCTCCTATAATCATGGATATCTGTAGAGGATCTCCATCTGTGAAGTAAGCTACAGAAAAATGCTGATGGTTTCCATTACTTGAATTTTAAATGAAAAAAACACCTAACAAGCTGATCTAAATTACACAGTATGAGATCAAATCAATTAAGTGATGTGGTTAATTAACATTGGGAAAAATATTCGTACTTCTCTCACTTGGTCTCTTTCTTCTATATAACAATTTTGTAATGAATAAGAAAATGACAAGTGAAATAAAGTACATCATACACAAATTTGCATGAAAAGAGATAACTTATAGGAAGAGTAAAAAATTGCTTATTTCTCTTCTCTTTCTTTATCAATATAATGGGAGAGTAAGAGAACAGTTGACATGGTAAATAAATTCAAGTGTAGAAAATTTCTTAATCATAAACAAAACAATATTTTAAAGTATGTTTTAATCAAATACCTACCAAATATGTTTATATTGACTATTTCTAGCAATAGGAATGCTGATTCAGTTACAAGTCAATCATACACTATTTGCGCGATAAAATTATTATATAAAAGATATAATCGTATCCACGTTATATTTGTTAACTTAACAAATAAAACACTTGTAAATGTTATACTTCAACTCAGGAAAAAATTCTATTGTCTTGAAATTAATATAAAAATAAGCTAAGTAAAATTAAAGCATTAAATGCATCAACCAAAATGTCTACTGCACAATGAGCAATATTTGATCTTTTACTTTACACAAATGAGACTACTGATCTATGCATAAAAAATGTATATATGCATCTATATAGTCTTTCTTCTGTTGCACATTCATGACATAGAAAGAATACAGGAAGCTTAGATTAATTGTTGAATTATTAATTAAATAAATGTTGATATCTGTACATTTATTTAGTGAAAAATATTGATGTGTTTAAAATATATTTCCTCTTTTCATTATGTCATTTCTGTCATTATTTTCTTGTAATCTTAGTTAAGATTGGCTCTTTTACTCTCTTGAAATTTACAACATATCATTTATTTAAAGAAATATTCTTTACAATATATAATTTTTACAGATTTTTATTAGAATCAACATGAACTCAATTATATCCAGGTGGAGCCACAAAGTCTATTTATCTTTGTTTACCATTTAGCATCGTTATACCTGGAAAATTGTAAGCTTCTATACTGAAATTTTCGTGGTAAAACCATGTAATAAGTCACTCTGAATACAGAACTAAAGGCTGATTGAATTTTAACGGTTACTGGGATCCAGCCATAGAAAATGTACCCTCACATTCTTTCAGATGTTCAATGTTTGATGGTCATGGGGATGACTGAGATTGACCATTAAAGATACAGATTCCGTGATTTAAGTTTATATACACATATCACAACTTTGCATAGATTTTTATAGAGCTAAAGTCATAGTCTCAAAATCATTACATAATATGATAGGAAAAAATATTCCCTGAACCTTGAGTGCAGAAGGCAATCTGCTACCCAGGATGTGCCTGAATACGTAAATATGGTGAGTATGGCTTCAGTTTTCTTCCCAATCTCCTTCTGTTACTGTGAGGGAGTGAATACTATATAACTCTCACTTCCCAACTCACTTAGAGACTCTGGCTACTGGCCTACTTG